TGAACCACATTTGGCCCCCTGATTGGGGTGTTGGCCCCCTGATTGGGGTGTTGGCCGCTCATTTTGAGCTGGCATTATTATTATTATTATTTGAAGTAACAAATGATCATGTGTATATTTCTGCACAGGTGTATGGAATTTAGGGCACATAACACACCTGTATTTTATCTAGTGCAACCAGGCCTATTGCTTGGTTTTTTTCTGCCTATTTTAAATCAATGCTACTTTATCAAGGTGAAAAAATCACGAAAAACAAGGTAAATTTTTAAATGTCTTGGCAGGCTTATATCGATGACAGTCTTATCGGCAGTGGGTACATGCACAGTGCGGCAATTGTTGGTCTATCCGATGGGAGCTACTGGGCTTATGGAGGAACCTACATCCCACAGCCCGATGAGGTTGCTCATATATTAAAATGCCTGGGGAATTTTCCGCTCGTACAATCTTCTGGTGTGACCATTTATGGTGTGAAGTTTTTTGGTCTGCAGTGTGGCACCGATGGTGAAATGAAATATATTTTTTTTAAGAAGGGTGCTGCGGGTGGGTGTGTCTACACCTCGAAACAGACAGCCATTATTGCCGTCTATGGGAACCCTGGGGATTCATCATCTCTTCAACATGATCTTGAAAAGAAGGGAGAAGCCGACGTTGCAGTCAACCCAGCCGATTGCAACTCCACAGTGAAACGAATTGCGGAGTATCTTATCAGTTTGGAGTACTAGGAAGTGTTGCTGTAAAAACTCTATTATCAGATCTAACTGGAAGAAATTATTATTATTGTGATTCCTTTGTTGTAAGGATCGTTTTTTTTTTTTTTTAGCTCGTGTGCTTAGTTTATTTATTTTTTCCCCCGTTTTTTTTTTTTACTTGTTGTGTGTATGATTACTTCTTTATTGTTGCTGCTCCAATTTATGATGTGTGCCAGTATTCTTTTTTTTTTTTTTTTTTTAGTATCTCCCTTTCATAAAATGTCAATGTGCTGTTGCGGTGGAGACCTGCGCTGTCCATGTGGGAGTATAGTGTGCACTGGATGCTCCAGGTTTTGTCTGGGATGCAACCAGCTTGTTTGTGTCAGGTGTATACCACTAAGCTTGACGCATTGTAAGAGCTGTTGTTTGGCGTTCTTTCGCAGCAATCGTCACCGTTTATGACGTCGCCACAGGTCCGCCTTCACCCAATTGGTGCCTACAGTGGCTTAACAGGGTCCCCCCTGTGCATGTGTGCTTGTTTTATTTTTTTTCCTTATTGCTTGCTGAAAAAAAAACGAAAGAGGGACAGTTGCAACGTTGTGAGTCATAGATTACCTTCATTTGCAGAAAGGGGAATAGCCCGTGTCTTGCAGGAGACAAAGTAAACCTCCTCGTTGCTTGACGTTTCTCGCCTGTTAACCGTGAGCGATGTGGTGTGCGTAGGTAGAAGTCCCCTCTATGTCTATCTTGCTCCGCTGCTCCACTGTTAGATAGAAAGAACATGTTATCTAGGAACATTACACGGTGTTTGCTCCCACGGGTAAAATGGACCTCGTACACTTTTGCACTGGTGAGAGCCCCCCCAACCGGAGCTGTCCCATCCGTTTTACGTATTGAGAAGAGAATGCCCACCTTACTCATCGATATACCGAAAGTGGAAAAACTAACGTGCGGAACTGGTCAACCTGCTCAGCGTGGTCGTAGGAAGCCATTGGTATGGAAGCGAAGGCATCCGTGGTTTGATAGACAATGGTCTCTTGATCTTAAGCGTGCAAAGAAGGGCCCTGCAACGCCACAGTACCCTGACGGAGTGCCGTTTACCCAGATTCGAGCATTTCAGTCTTTTGCCGGAAGGTCATGGAAAATCAATGCAGGGCGTCGCCGGAAGATTCGTCTTTCCCTAAAGCGAGGCCGTCGGAAGCTTTTGTGAGTTCGCTTTATTCCACTTGTAGAATGATGCATGCAGGCGATACGTTGTTTGGTGCGGTCGCCTTTTCTTTTATTATTATTATTATTTGCTTCAAATTTGTGTCTCTGCGTTTTTCTAGCGGAAGCGGGGGGACGCTGTCTTCTGCATTTTTATTTTCAATTATTGCCGCATAAAGCTGGGTTTTTTATTTTATTTCTTATTATTACTATTAGTCAAATATAGCTTCTTCTAGGCTTCCATCTGCACTGTTTTTTTTTTAATAATTTCTGTGTGTGCCGGCATATGCGCGGGATGATGAAGCTTCTGTGTGTTTTTATGCTTGCCCTTTTGGCGGCGAGTGGCGTGATGTGTGAAAAGTGTTCTCGCGTGACCCAACGTTTGCGTTGTGGAGCATTTGCGTGTGATACTAATCGCGGCGTCTGCGTCCCTTGTAACACATCGGACGAATGTTACCCTAGGGCCATGGAATGTAGGGGAGGGGAATGCGTTGCTAAAGACCTTGCCAGTGGTTTTTCTGCTCTTTTGGGTGTGGCGCTACTATGTGCATTTGTTGTTTGTTCCATTGCTGTCTTGGCTGGTGTTGGAGGTGGCGGCATTCATATCCCCATGTTTTGCTTGCTGATGGCGGTGCCGATGGATATTGCTGTGGGACTGTCTCAGTCTACCACGTGTGGACAGAGCTTTCTGAATGTGTTTCTCGCCGTTCAGAAGCGTTTTCCTTCTGCCGATTGCTCGCGCCCTTTGATCAACTATCAGTATCTGACCCTCCTTATCCCACTTGGAGTCATTGGTACTCTCATTGGAGGGGTTCCGAACAAGGTGTTTCCAGACTTGGTTCGTTCGATTCTATTGTTTATCCTCCTTGTAATCGTTCTGTATCGCACGGCTCTAAAATTGATTGCACAATACCGGAAAGATCAGGCTGTGAGAAGGGAACCGATTCCAGTTCCATCTTCAGAGGAGGAAGTGGCAGGCACATTGCATACGCCCGAAGGAACACCCAGTCTTAACCAACCTCAGTATCCATGGCTAGAGATTTTGTGTGTGGTCTCTTCTTTTCTTGTAAATTTGGCCTTTGCTGCATGGAGGTCTCGTACAAAATGCGGCGGTGGAGTGTATATTGTCACTTATTGCATACCGATTATTGCAAATGTTATTTTGTTTCTCTGGTACCGGTATCGATTGGCGAAGATGGAAAGATCCAGATTAACTTTTTACTGGAATGCCAGAACCACAATTCTGTATCCACTGGTATCGGTAGTGGCCGGGATTGCGGCAGCCATGCTCGGTATCGGAGGCGGATTGGTGCTGGGCTTTGTTCTGTACGAAGTTGGTCTCATTCCCGAGGAAGCATCTGTCACAGGAGGTGTTGCAACCTTGTTTTTGGCCCTTTCTTCCGCGCTGAGTTTGCTGATTGAGGGTCGTCTTCTTATTGACTACGCGGGGGTTTTTTTTGCATGCGGGCTTTTTAGTGCAGTCATTGGAGATTTCGTGTTTATGAGACTCATCAAAAAGTACAAGTTGAGGTTTTTGATCGTTGCGGCCTTAGTGACGATAACTGCAGGTTCTCTTGTTTTTCTGTCGGGTTTTGGTATTTACAACTCGATTAATATTGTCCGTAATGGTGGCTCGATCGTGACATTTGGCCGTGTGTGCCGTGCAGGAGGTGGAAGTGGCAACTAGCAATCAATGTGCTCACGGTGAGGTTGAGGTTGTGGGGATGCGGTGGTGTTGCTGGTTAGTGATATTAAAAACGGCAGTTGAAAATTAAGGCAAAAAAAAACAGAGGAAAACCATGTACAGATGGTTAGTGAAGAGGCTGCCGGGCGCTAATGCCCTCTTATTATTATCCTAGCTGGAGGCGGTGAGGGGGGGAAATGCGAAGAGGGGAAAATGACAGCTTGACTCAAAGTTGTGGCTGGAACAGCCAAAGCGTGTCCCATCCAGACAACGTTACGTGGGACTGCGTGCCAACAGCATTTGGTTTTGTAGACCAGTGGCATAGCCCCTCGCCCGAGGGGGTGGCAGTTCATTCAACTTTATTTTCATTTCGTAAATAGCACGAATTTTGTCCTTCATTACTGTTTTCTCTCTTTTGTCCATGATTATTTACAGTTGTCAACAATAATTGTGGTAGCAGCGCTCAAAAATTAAAATTAAAATGACATTTTGAAAGCAAAGCACAAAATTGTTTTAAGGGGCTTCGGTGGGCGGGCAGAGGAAAACCTGGCCAACCGATAAAACCGGTTTCCACACCTTTGCCCCACGCTGCCCAAGCTGAAGAGACAATACAAAAAGTAAAAAAAACGTTACTTCAGTCCTTCACGCCACGCAGCATCCGACGCAAAGCACGCCAAGTTGTCCATTAATTCGTCTTAATCCCAAATCTAAATCTACCCAC